CACGTCAAAAACCGACGAAAATGTTCAGGAAGTGAAAGAAATTGTGTTGAAAAATCGTCGAATCACGATTAGAGAAATAGCTGATGATCTTAACATATCGTTTGGCTCATGCCAATCAATTTTAACGGATGTTTTGGGTATGACACGTGTGTCAGCGAAATTCGTTCCAAAACTGCTTAATTTTGATCAGAAGCAGCGTCGCATGAACATCGCCCAAGACATGTTGAACGAAGTCAATGATGATCCTGATCTGCTCAAAAGGGTTGTAACTGGTGACGAAACATGGAAAATTGAAAAGGCCCATGAAAGGACGAAGATTTGCGACGATTGAGGAGATTAAGGCTGCATCGCTGGAGGAGCTTAAGGCAATACCCAAAAGTGCATTTCAGAAGTGTTTTGACGACTGGAAAAAGCGCTGGCACAAGTGCATTGTATCAGAGGGGGATTATTTTGAAGGGGATAACATAATTTTGGATGAATAAATGAATATTTTTTTATAAAAATGAAAAGTCACCTTACTTTTTGATCACACCTCGTATAGTGTATATTAGTAATTCAAGATTGATCATTTTAAAGCAATGAAGATCCAGCTTCGAGCGTAATAGGCATTTTTCTAGTATTGATTGTGTTTTCTTTATAAATTCTTTAAATAGAATCTCACTTTAAAGAGTGAAAATTGAGCCAGTCTTAACAAAGAATGACTCAATGTTCAATCTTCGAACAGTAAGATTTACTTTAAAAATTTTAAAGAGTAATAAACGCGAGACGTTTACGTTTTTAAATTAAATTCAAGAATTGAAATAACGACGTTTAAAGTGTGATACTTTCCATTTTAATGAGTCTTTTTGCTTCATTCATACTTAAAAATGACATAACTGATATAATGTTTAATTTAAAATTCCTTTTATTGCAATAATTAAGAAAAGAGAGAACGTAATGTAGCATAATAACTTGACTGTTAACATGATACATCGCATAAAAATATGGCGTTAATAAAGGCACTTACGTCAGAAAATTGATAATGTAGACCAACTAAAAGTTCGCGATTATTTTACCGAGGAATGCACCGTGATACATTTAATAGCGTGTGATGATGCCGAAGCAAAACCAATTTGAGATAAAGAGTGAATTTGTGACGCAAAGTGATTGTCCGACGAGTGATTGAACGGTAATTCTGCGCTACTTCCAATGTTGTTCTTTGTCCGTTCGTTTTGTTCGTTCCCCTTTTCCTTGGTCATCAGACGCAGCAGTTGGCACAGCTTCGATCAACGATTAAAACGCCTCACACGTACACCATCCGAGCCAAAAGTAGCTTATTTTCTTGCTTGCCACGGTAAAAAAGATTTCTTTTTTTTTTTCTTTACACAAGAAATCGTAAATAATTCAACGCGAGAAACAGGCTACGAATACAGTATTCAATTGCATTAGGGAAAGACCGATTAGCAATGCGGTGCTTCGTACAGCAGATGTCTTTAATATTAAGCCGCAATATTAAAGACGATAACCCACCGACGGTTCTTCGTGGAAAATCGTTTTCTCCTGCATACGTTCGCTTCAAGAACATAATGCATACGTTTTATTGAGTGTACGACAGAACGTTGGCTTGGAAAAAGGAAGAAATTGATACTCTCGAAAGTAAATATTAGCCCGAGGCATCGTCACGTTGTCTCCACCTCCGAGAACGCACGCTCGTCCTCAACCGCGTGAGGGATATTTCTGCCAATGCGCAAATCGCAACTTTGAAATTTCCGGCCGCGACCTTTTATGACACCATAACTGCGGAATGTCGTAAATCCGCTAACTGCTGCGTCCTGAGACACAGTAATCGGCTCACCGTGTCTTATCCGCCTGTGTCTCCTTTTACACCAAATCATATTAACGCGCGATCCATTTCTTCTCATTGTTGCGCGACGTTACCTCTTCCCGGCATGTGAAACCCTAAATTGACAATCACTGAAACCAACCTCCGGGGAGACAGAGGGCTTCCTATTGTAGTTTGGCAAGTTTAACGAACGAGGGTAAGGACAAGGATCGAGCATGCGAGAGGCCGAAGCTCGAGGTAAGACTCCGACGAGGAAAAGAGAGATAAAACCTTAGCATGATAAGGTCGGTTCGTACAGAGGTACATACAACCCGAATTTTTTTCTCTTTTCTTTTATTGCTTTTATTGCTCCTAAGAAAAGATGAAAACATATGCTTCGCTTGCTTAGCTTGCGATTGATTTTATCCGTTTTCAGACCTTTGTACGATCTTTCCTCGAAAAATAAATGTCATCCTTGTGCAAATCAGAAATTGCAATACAGAAATTTATTTAAGAGTTTATAGTATTGCGTTATTACGTAATTACATAACAATATTGCCTTCTTTTGATCAAAATTATTTTTTTAAGAGAATTATTACAAATTGAATATATCAATCATATATTTGTAATCAGCGAACAATTTGTAATCATTTAATAATTTTGCACGTACAGTTTCCAATTGCGCACGATGATGACTTGTTTGAATCTGCTTATTTTTTCTTTTATTTCTGCTTGCATTTTATTTTGACAATAATAAAGGTATGCTGAAAAATTTTCTTGCTTCGTTAATAATGCTAGAAAAAAATAAATGCCTGCGGAACGTATTTTCGGGTCTTTTCTTTATTTTTTTCTTCTTCTAAACTTCTTGACTAGTAGTGCTTATTATCTGATACTACTGCCGTTTGTATTTACAGAAATCGAGCTTTAATAAATTCGACGCTCTTAGCAAGAAAGTTCTTCATGTGCGTTCGGTTGATGCGGGGAAAGTCCAACAGCAGCTGAATGCAGTAAGTGTTCATTATTTATTTTATATTAAACTTAAAACATTTGTTGCTACAATTTTTATTTTACAACCGTAACTTGTAGTCGTACTCAGAAGTAGTTTGAAACGAAATAAATGTAGAACAATTTGCGTGTAACTAATCCCTTCGATATTACTTCACATTCGAAAATAAAATCTTTTCTAAATTAAACTCGCTCTTTAATATAAAATTATTATTTCTTGAATAATAAATTCAGCTACGTTAAATTCCAAGTATGAGACTTGAATACGCGTGCGTTTAATCGAATCGAATCGAACCTAGAGAATCGTCCTCTCGTTTCTTCATAGGCGGGGAGAGTGAAAGTTGTGAAGGTGCTAATTAATTGGCGCACTGGTGCATTGCAGGTGGGTCAGAATGCCGATGCGAATACGAACTGTCGCAGCTGCGGCAAGGTCGTGTTCCAAATGGAGCAGACAAAGGCCGAGGGTCTGGTCTGGCACAAGAATTGCTTCCGGTGCGTGCAGTGCAGTAAGCAGCTCAATGTGGACAATTATGAGAGCCACGAGAGTAAGCTCTACTGTAAGCCACACTTCAAGGAACTCTTCCAACCGAAACCAGTCGAGGAGTCCGACCAACCTGGTAAGATGATTACCATCCTGCGCAATATTAATCTGCTTAAATGGATCGTCTTTGCGAATTACTCGTTAAATCTTAACGTGGACGTTTAAACGACCGACCGTGGATTCTATCGTCTCTCCATCTCGCCGCTAATCTCTCTGAGGCGAACTTTGTGCGGACAAAGTGAGCCCCAATCTTCAGTCAGAGTGTATTAAAGGAACATAAAAACATAGATGTGTTTCGACGGGAACGGACGGTAAAACTGGAAGAGATAAAGTTTGCTTTCTTGGCGTCGCGTCGTCAGTCTTAAGTTTCTTTCGCGCCGCGATTGATGACGTGCTTGATTAATTCCAGTCGTTGCAAATCATAATTATACGTATTCATATATGTGTCCCTTGTTTTCTTTTAAGAGCGCGATATATATATATATATATATATGTCAAAGGCTGAATGTATAAACCTATAGACAATTAAAAGTAAGATTGCATCCTTGATGTAAAGATAATGGTAAGAAATATGTCTCATAGTTCTCTGTACAATGAAAACAATAGTATATGGAATTCAGGTATACAGTGTAATGCTGCCTTAATGTGCGGACATAACTTAGAGGGGGCCCGAGTGCCGTCAGTGGGCCGTCTAAGACCCAGTTTATTAAGCCCCTTAGCACAGGGGCTAGAATTACAGTTCTCTTTTCTTCTCTTCCCCTTCGTATAATTACGCGCAAGCGTCCGAGCGCTGAGAGAACGAGAGGTATCGTTAATGTGACAAAGAGTTGTCTTGTGAACTCCGCAGTGCGACCTCGAAAGCCGGAGCTGATCATACGAGAGAACGAGCCGAAAGAATTGCCGCCCGATGTGGTCAGAGGTAACGACAACAGCAACAACAACGTTCGACGTGTGTGAGTGGCGTGGAACGCGATCTGGTGATTGCTCCTAACGCTCAATGTGTCCCTTTTGCGAGTGGCTTTTTAACCGTTGATTGGTTGCTGAATCGAAAATTTATCTGTGCATCAAATCGCGTAACGTGTCCCGCATTGGTGTGCCGATTAATAAAACGGGACATGAATCATTATTAACGCCGAGCATTTCATTAGTCGGCATGTATTTCTCGGGATCTACAAGGCAATATAAATTACTGATACATTCTATAGAATTACGATATAATTTGTACATAATCCTGCTGTCGATATTAAAATTAATTTTTTTGTCTGCATGAAAAAGTGGCCAACACCATTTAATGATAATATTCTTAACGCTCCATATATTAAACTCACGAGCAAAATCCTCTTAATTAGTATATTTTAACATATTGTACATACGTGTCTGCCTATGTGTCTTCCTTATCTCATTTAACTCGGTCAGAGTTGTTAAAAAATTTATTTAAATATATGAGAGTCATACATGTAGTAGTTTGCAAAATTGCTAGCGAATTGAAATGAAGAAATAAATACTGCTATTTGCGAGAGATGTGAGATTGTAAATCGTAAGAATGATATTACGTTATATACGATATATCAATAGCTCTCGAGAGTAAACAATTGGATAATATCTTATCGCAGTGGTATGCGATGTGACATCCATGAGAAGAATGTAAGAAATTTGTAAGAGTCGTAATATGATCGATGTTTGAAATTGAACGCTGTGGCTCATGTTTGATCTGAGTATGTTATCATATCACGACGATAGGTTCAACTCTCTCTCTTCTCGATATGAGTCCTTTTAACTCTCTCCGACGCTTTTCAGAATTTTCGTGTAGTGTGTGCAACTTTGCTTTTTCCGCGAATTGTCGTTCTCGAGTGGTCTAACAAGTTTACCGCCGGAGAAAAAAAAGAGAGGGTGTTGAAATGTTTGAACAGAGCTATGAGCATCGCTAAAAGAGAGGAGTAAGAAGGTTTCCATTTGAATTTTAGCTTCCGACAAACCCGATCTGGGACTCGAGGAACTTTCAAGCTTAAACGTCAAGTCGCGCTTCCAGGTCTTCGAGAAAGCTAGTACGGAGAACACCAATGAGATCGAACGATCACCATCACAAATCGCCGTCAAGAGATCACCCAGCATCCTTAGTAAACTGGCCAAGTGAGTAATCGGTGACATATTTCTTGGGATATTTTTACAGAGTAAATTATTTTAATTAAAAAAATCTGTATATTCATATTGTATATAAAATTTCCAAGATTTTCTCGACTATGTTTGTACATACGTATAAATATATATAAATATTAGATAGTAAAGTCAAGTCGTCTCTTTCTTCGATAATGTACTGCTCTCTCTATGAGCAATGATAATTTTAAAACATGATATACCATGACACAGATTTACTTCTGTTGAAGATAATAATAAGCCTGTAATTTTGCCGGATGGGCATTTCTCGAAACGACAAAGCATACAATTATTAATTATTGCATATATTTTTTACATAGAGGATTAGAGTAATAATTCAAATATAATTAAAAATAATAAAAATTTTAATTCGCGAAATTGTACCACTTAAATAAATATAATATCTTATTATAATTATATTATGATTTTGATTTCCTATAGTTAGTATATTTATCAAAAAACGTATTAAAAGATTTCGAGATTTATATCGTGATTATATTCGGATTTTTATTACGGCGATTGTTAATTTGAATATAAATTTTAATGATTTTTTTTATTAGTATGTGTTATATGTGTGAGTATAAGTCGGTATAAACGAGGTTTTCATGGTATTCAGCAGTCAGCAGTTTCGTTCTTGTAACTTGAAACTCAAGAAAATATAGAGTAAATGTGTTACAACAAGCGTAACGGCGCAACCGCTCATACATCGTGTGCAAAGTATCTATAACTACTGTGTACGTTTTCTCATCCAGATTTCAAGCGAAAGGCATGGACATTGGCGTGGCGGACGAATCTCTCAATGGCATACCTTATGAAGAGTCCAGCGAAAGTGAGGATGAAGTGGAGGCAGAAGAAACCGAAGGTAGTCAATAAGAAAATCTTGTCAATATTAAAAAAGAAAATCCGCAATAAAAATTTATAGATTTATTAGATTTGTTGAATATAAATTTTCAATTTAAATACAAATTTTTTAATTTGTCTCTAAAAAAAATTGTTTATACGTCAACACTTTGACTGTCATGCGTATTCAATTGATACACATCTATGTGGGTGCAGGATAGAGTTTGAGTGTTGAACAATGTTAGTTATTGCATAGAGAAATAAGTTATATTTTAATTTATATAACATATTATGTAAGCTTACGTATCTCATTATATTTGTGTCATAATTTTGTAATAAGTATCATGTCATTGATCTGTGACTTACGACTTCGTTTTTTATATCTTTTATGACGAAATTTGATGATACTGATTTATAACATACGTTATATTAGCTTGTTATTTGAGATGATGTTTATTATCCTCACCTCGCGTATTTCTTTTATGCACATGGGGGGATTGAATATCCACAAATAAAAAATATTAAATTCTAACAAGTCTTATACCAATTTACATTTAATTTATGAAAGTTAAGTATAAAGTGTTATTATGGTGTTAGGAAATTGATTATAAAAATCAAAGTATTAAATTGTATTGTAATTGTGTTAATTTTTTCCATTTTAGAAGTGGACACCGAAATCGTAAAATCAAAACGCACTACACGCGAACGACCGATCAGCTTTTCGAAGATGGACGATATCAAGAATCGTTGGGAGAGCACCAGCCAGCAGGGAAGACGCGAGGTTCAGCGCGAGGCTAGGAAGGAAGAAATCGCAGGAATCCGTTCGCGATTGTTCTTGGTAATTTTAGTAATTTGTCATATGAAACTATAAAGGATAATATTACAATAAGATCGTAAGCTTCGTTGTTATTATTTTATGATATTATTGGTTTAAGAAAAAAAAGTCACACGTCCGTTATAACGGTTTTAATATTAACGCAGCTGTTTGTATCTTTTTTATTATCATTAATATGTGTAATGTCATAAAAGTGTAAATTGAACTGTCAGAGAACAGCTGCACACGTTTCTTTCGCAACGTTTATTGACCATTGACCAGTTTTTTCTCAGAAACCAGCTCTTTAAATACAGCAGATTTTTCCTTTATATCGCACTTTGCTGAATTCATTTAATAAAAATATTGACATTTTTTTTAATTTCTCTTTTTCTTCGATTTACAGGGTAAACAGGGTAAGATGAAGGAAATGTATCAACAGGCGGTAGCTGGAAGCGACCGTGTTACGAAGATAAACGCAGCAGAGGAGATTCAGCACTCGACTACCCACGCTCGCTCCCTCAAAGAGAGATTTGAACGGGGCGAGCCAATCGCGGCGTCAGACGACGAAACTGATAGTAAACCGAAACCGGAGAAAGCCGACGAGGAGGTGATCGCAGCAGGTATAAAATGGACTTTCAGCAATTAAATGACTTGCGAATCGCGAAGACTAGAGAATTGCGAAAAGACCTAGACGTCGAGATGGTAATTTGAAATAGACTGACGAAATGTTTGATCGCAATACTTGTTATACTATAATTGTGAGCATATAGGAATGGAGAGGAATTACGTGATGAACTTAGAAGTACTCATGTAACAAAAGTCCAGTTGTAGTGAGAAATATATAACAAGTGTTTTCATCGTGTTTGTATCGTTTTATACTTTAAAGATATAAATAGTTATTCATACGCGCGAATGAAGGCACTTAATAATTTTTACATAACAGATTAACAATTCTTAAAGATCTTATAGATATTAATCTATACCTGTCTTATATGAACTCTTTCGAGAGAAAAACTCAAAAGAAAGTAACCTAGTATTTCTTACAATACGAGATGTTCCGCGCAAAAACTCTCTACTGAATAGAAGACTGTGTTAAGAGGTCATATTATTATTTGTCGGCTTTATATGAAAAATTATTTTTGTTCCGAACAGAAATAGACCGTTATGAGTTGTCGAATTGCGCAGGGTGAAAGTATCTGTACTAATTGACAGTTTAAATATATGAGTGATTTATGATAATCTATATTTATAATAATATATGTTGGTCACGCAAAACACAGGCATCAGCAGGAAGTCCCGGTCACTCTTTTTGGAACTAGACGCGACTGCAGCAAAAACAGGACGTCCAGTGACGCCAGTTCATCCAAAAACGCCAACCGAAACCTCACGACGTGCACGAGACGTAAGTTCAGTCACTTTTATCTATTATATATATATACATATTATATTTAGTTAAGCCAAAGTTCATAATTCACTTTGAAAATTTTAAAACATGAATTTGTCTACTAAAATTATGAGAATAGAATTTTTCTATTTTTTATATATAGTCTTTTTTAAACACTTATAGCTTGGAAAATTAATTGTAAAATTATTAAAATATGTATTTTTTCTTAGTAAGTATCTATACGTGGAAAAATTTAAGTGCTAATTTGTTTAATATAATTTCTATTCAAAAGAAGGTTTTAGATTGTGACATTGATTAGTATAAGATTCAAAGTAATATAGTTAAACAAAGAAAATATATCTTTGAGGCAAATGTATCTCGTTTTTCAACGTGAGATTTTTCATTGAACGCACATGCAATGTCAATAACGCGTCTAGTAATGATAATTTCTGAAATATTTGTGAGAAAGGCGTTCATGGGTCGTCAAGTCTCAGACGATGTGGTGCGCAGCTCAGATGCGACCGAGGAGATCCAAGTAGAAACGTCGGAAATTTCGAACAAGTTCAAATTCTTCGAGTCCTATAAGGAACCGCAGAAACAGCGAAAGCAATTTCGCATTACGCCGCCTCGTGACGGTCAAGTCAAGGTTCGACTCTTCGACTTTGTTGTCGTTGATTGATTTATGTCTGTGTTAATTTTCTCTAACAATCTTATGCGTGTCAACTAATTAAACGATCATGATTTACTATATGATTTATTTGATGGAGTGATTTTGCTTAAGAATTTTTACCGTCTATGGAATTACAAGAATGTAGTAAGCAGAAATAATTAAATACCCGAATTAAAGAATATAATTTTATTTTTATCGCTTAAATTATATTGTTTATTTAATAATGACTGACTATTATTATAACTATTATTATACTGACTATTATTAGACTAACAAAAATAGACATATATAAAATTTTTATAGTCTATTGCTATAGAGAATTATTTTAATGACTCTCTTCTATTTGTGAAAGTACTATTATCGTATATAGTTATATATTTATATTGTATTCCGAGTATATTGCATTTACCAATAATATTATTATCGATTTAACCTGAAGGATTTTCAGGTTATTGATAAAGAAAAAAATGTAAAGATATCTTAACATGATTTACATTATTATTAGAGATACAAGAGATAATTCGTATTGTAAAAGGAAATATTGGTTTGTCGAGAAATAGCGTGATCTCATTTTCAATTAAGATAGGAGAAATATTTGCGCTCATACGTGTTTGACTGTTTTAAATTGCATCACGTCTTTAATCCGCATTTTATGTACGTTTTATTTTTTTGTTTGACTACTAAAAACACTAACGTGGTTTTATATGATTTTCCGATTACGTAACTCTTCACATTAAATAACATTTATCCCTTGCTCAAAATTTGTTTAAAATATTAACTTCAACATTTGGCTAAAGATAATTATAATTATTAAAATGATGATTACCGTACCTACATAATCAAAAGTAAATTTCAAGTTATTTTTTTTTATATTAAGACAAAAAGAGCTATTAGAGCCTAGCAAGATAACTTATGCTATAATAAAAGTTTATTGAAATAATAAACAACTTTTAATAACAATTTTCAAATGTCTCAACCTTTTTCAGACTGAAGAGTACCTTCTCGTTTTAATATAATTAAATTTATTCCGAGTAAGCCGAGTCTTTCAATATATTTAATTATTTTTTTTTACTTTAGATCGCGTTCAAGATTAAGTAACACCTGCATTCTCTTTGACTCCCCTTGTAATTTTGTGATATTTTATTGCAGATAAACCAAATTTTCCAAATGATAAAATAGTAATAAGGTATTTAAATTGTATTTTTTATAAATAGCATTTTGATATTCCTATTACAATAAAGAAAGTACTCCGTTCGAATCATAAATCTTATTTCTGATATTGTACGTATATTTTAGGAATGAAATATTCGTATTAGAGTTCAAAGAATGAAATGTTTGTTATTTCGCAAGAATATAAAAATTTTTTATGCATGAATATATAAAAATATATATAAACATACATAAACACGCATAAATATTCATAACATATATAATTATTAATTTTACAAAAGAAAGGAGGATGTATGAACATGTATATGAACATATTTTATATATAATATATATGTTTATGAATATTTATGCGTGTTTATGTATGAATATACATATTCATGGATGAAAAATTTTTTACCGGGATAGTAACCCCTCATGTCTTCTTTCATCTATCGATATATCCCCGGCGTGATATGCGAGTTTATCAATAATTATCGAAGTCTCACTGTTGTTCGCGGATGCGGCCTAATAAAAAGGAGCCTCGTGCTCGTGCATCTCTTGGGGAACCGGCGGCAATGCGCCTCGCGCGGAACGCACGACACAACGAGTCGATTCCAACAAACCGGGCTGTCCTTGAACCCCCTCCCGAAGTGGTCAGCGCAGCAGCAGCCATACTTTTACCGTTAGTATTCCTACATCCTTCCATTCGTGAAGAGCAAGCGGGGCAACACAAGCGGACCGGGTACCGGCGCGTTGGGCCCGGGAACCTTAACCGAGGGAAGGCGCGACGCGCGCGACGAGGCCCCTCGCAGTAACTCACACACACACACACACACACACACACACACTCCCCCAGGGGAGGAGGGCACACACCGTCGGTCCCCTATCCTCTTGTGAACGGCATAGCAACCGGCTGTCGCGCCGTTCGTACGAACTTCTCACGAATCAAGAGAAGGAGAGCCTCCCTCAAGAAGCGCGCCGAAGTGGCGGACCGGATTCGCACAGTTTGAACGACGACGCTCAGTCTCGTTCCGCTCGCCGAAGGGGCTTTAATAATCACGGAAAGGTAATTATCGGTCCGCGTACAGAACGAACGCTTCGGTTACGTTCTGTAATTGCGATCGGAAATACTGTGCTTTTAACACCTAGTTACCCGAAGTTTCTTCTGAGCGGCACATTCCGAGTGGTGCAAAAAGTAGGCTGATGAATCGTTAATACCTGGATATAATGAGCGTTTCGGTTCATAGTTAACGATCTGTAAACAATTTACATATTCTTTTTTTAGAGACTATGAAATCGGAGACTTAATGCTCGGGATTCCGGTTATAATTGAAGATTTGTTTTTTTTTTTATTAATATTTTATGAATGACATATATTTATTTATAAGATCGACAGGAAGACTTTCTGGCAATTAATTGGAAAGCAATCGATGCGGCGGTTAATCATGCTCCGCGATTGCAATCAATTTTTCAAGATACCGTTTGGTAATCGAGGTTTCTTCAAGGAGGAATATTGTGTTCTACTTTCCATAAAAATTACACACTTCATATACATGAACGTTCCATTTACTTCGGAGTATTGCTGCGCGATTGGATTTTTCGGAGTACTGTATTTGATATCTAATATCCAAGCTTTCTAAAAATTGCAATGTTCGAGTTTCAATTTATGGCCGCTACGACAATTGAAAGTAATTATTTTCAAATAATTAATTTTTGCACATCAATTAATTGTTTAATTACATTTGCATTCGATTTATTATATATTAATATACACTGAAAAAAATCTTAATTTTAAAGAAATATTTCTTTGCTCCTATTAAAAAAAGTTATTTCTTTGGATTATTGAAAATTTTTTTGAAAATTAGATATTGTACAATGAGATATTGTTTCAAAGAAATAATTTTTTTTAATACGAGCAAAGAAATATTTCTTTAAAATTATGATTTTTTTTTCAATGTATAAATTGTAGATCGTATTTTTCGGAATATTATCTGTATATTGGTTAACATACGAGATCGTAATCATAAATTATTCTGTATTGAATGATACATTCTGATGCGCTTGCAGATACAGCGAAAATTGCGTGAGACTTTCATATGAAAGTTTCAATTACTTTCAGACATATTTAGAGCGAACAATTAATATGTGCAACCGCAATGTGTTTTCATCGAATTGTTAATTGTTCGTAATTGGCCTCCGACGAATATACACTCGAGATCTCTTCGTCGTGTGATTATAAGAGCGTTTCCGTCGACGATGAAGGAACGGACGTCGCTCGGGGGGGCGCAATCTCGCCGTGGCTTGATTTGCCGCTTGACGTGCCAGCACAGAGGGATACCGTGTGATCAAATATCCTTTCTGGACTGGTGATTTTATGGAATTCCGTTGGAAGTACTCTCCCGTAGATCCTCTCGACTCCATTACCACAGCGCGAAATCCGACTAAGACTCGCGATACTAAGATATTACTAAGCGTTTTTTCTTTTTGTTTTGTCAGGACCAAAAATAAAATAGTAATCTTCAGATTAGTTAATTTAGGGGCTTCTCAAGCATTTTTAATTTAGAGACTCTCGATGCGTTTTTCATTTTAGAGAATACTGAAATATCTTTGCAGCAGCAACCACCATTTTTACAGTTAATTTTTTATTAATTTATTATTCTCTATTTTTATATAATTTTCTGTGTAATATTGGCATTTACAATTTCAATTTAAAAAACAAATAATAACATAACTCGTTTATGTACTGTGACGGGAGGAGATTTCCTTAATTCAAAACTAAATGCGGTCAATTGTCATATAATCTAATATTGCACGGGAATTATCGGTTTTCCATTTTCTGACGTTTTCAAACAAAAGTTCTTACTGGATTAATTCGACATTTATTTATTATTCAATATCTTTAATTGATTTATTCAATAGCACTGTTCGACAAAAATCACTTTTCTTTCTCTTCCAAGTGTCATAATAAATTTTCCGAAAATTTTTTCGCGTTGAACATGATTGTCAGAATTTACGTAGCTCATCAGAATGTTGAGTAAAATGAGATGAAATGGGTTTTTAGTCGTTTTTAACATTTTTTTTACAGCAAAATGAAAACTTGTTTTTAAAGTCTACATCAATGTGTAATTTTATCAGCGACATCGTGTTCGATGCGAAAAAATCTTTAGAATACGTAATACGATATTTCGGAGAGAATTTGATTGTTGTACAATGTAATTTTAGTTATCTTTTTTGGTTCTATTTTTCTACACATTGCAAAACAATTAAAAACGATTAATTAATAATGCAAAGAATGATTGAAACGTATGATACATAGTCGCTTCTTTAATTCATATTATACGGACAGTTTATTTTTCAATTCTAATTACTTTAATTATATTGCCTTTCAATTATATATATAACGTGCTTATTTTAAATTCTTAAGAATTTTGTTCTCAAAATAAACGACTCACACTTTTTGCTGCAGTACTGATTCGTTGGCATAAACGAGAAGCGAATGGACAGATCAAGTGACGACAATTGACCGTTACAGAGTGCGTATACCACTCTTAAACCTGTCAATTTGTCGCCATTAAATACTAACCTTGAAGCGCGTACCGCAACCCTTTTGTCTAACTAAAGCCGATTCGTCAACAGTCCTAGTCCCATCCCGATTTAAACTAGCGCAAGGGTGGTCTCTTCCTAAAATATCGCGAGACGCGAACAACCTTCGATCACTCTACGTGATCAGCAATCAGGTTTTCGACTTACCTGACCCACTTGGGTTCAGGTATAATATAAACGTGGACAGACCCGATCAGGCGATTGAGAAGGATCAAAACCTTTGTCTCGAGAATAAAGACTCTGTTTTATATAATAGAAACCCTTATATTGCAGTATCTTACAATTAGTTGAAATATGCAAAGCATGCTATATTTATTAATTTACTTATGTATGTTGCATAGCTTCTTATTAATTTATTTTTCCATAAGCACATTGATTTTTTTCAAGATTGTGATTTGAGTGCAAATGAATTTGTTATCCATGAATGTAGCTATTTTTTCTTTAAAATGTTATTTAAGTTCTCAGAAATATATTACGTTTACTGATATCATTGTAACATAATATTTTTAATTAAAAGAAAAAAGTCTATATATGTACTTCTACATAAGATTTATAACCATACCACTCACGCTTGACTCAGAATCCTCAAAGTGACTCATACCGGATACGATTTGTAAAAAGAAACATTTCGACCGTGAATCTCCAGCTAGCTGGGTCCTCCGACGACGTATCATGACTCAAACATTCAGTTTAAAATTATCAAGCGATAAACAATATAGGTGTGCTCTTAATCGAGCATTATCTGTCCTTGTTGTCTTATCATGTAATCTCTCTACGAATTTCGAAACAGCATCAATTATGTGTAGATAAATGAATATGTTGATACGTGTCGAAGATATATTCAACTTGTAATAATTTTATGATATATTGGCGTTTACAAAAAATTTTGGAAGGTATGAGAAAGAAAGAAATAAACATAATTAACGTACAAAAACTAAATACTTATATAAATTATTAATAATTATTAAAATAATTAATACAATTAATTCTTCACATATAAAATGTATTTGTACAATTTAATTTTATCTCTTTGATAAAAATAATTACTTTGTATTTCAAAGTCTATTCACGTTAAATTTAAAAATTATATTGTATTGAATTATATAATTTAATTAAAAGAGATAACTTCAGAATAATGTACAACATACTTCGAGTATGGTTGAAAGTATTCGGTAGGTACGATACGATACGAAAAAATTTGTTAAAAAATTGGTCAACTAGAAATACATTCTTTCACCAAAAAATCAATACATGTTCCGAAAATAAAAGAAATAATTTTATTACGAAACATAGTTCAATATTACCTTATATAAAAATAATAATTAAATAAAATTAAAATTGCTTTTAATTTAATAACGGGATAATAATGAAATTATGTGATTTTTTTCAACTTACATTTGATTGTTATGTTAAACATATATTTTCTTTCGCAGATGGATTCACCGGATCGCGAGATTTACCGCGATCCAGATGTAGTCAGAGCTGACGACAGGGTGGACGAGGTGGTGCGCACAGACACAGCGAGGAAGATGCTGTCCATCTTTCGGCAGATGGAAGAGAACGCGTGCAAGGAAGAATTGCCGGAGGGCCCGAAGCCCTTGAAACGTTTCACACCGCCCCCTGAGGATAAATTCGCCAAAGCAACGGCCTCGGACTCGGAGGAAGGCGAAGATGAAGAGGGCGAGGAAACCGACGGTGATGAAAGCGCCGAGGAGAGAGATCCCAACTACGTCCGTGCTTCTGATAAGGTTTGTGTTCGCGCAAGACTTTTTTTATTAACGAAAAATTGAAAAATTTTAAAGAAATACAAAAAATATAAATGTATGAAAGAAGGTCTACAATAAGACCGATATAAAAGTTACATGTCTCATAACATCGAATTAGTATCTTTTCGAAACTTTCTCTTTCTATAGATATTGTTTTGTATTTCTTGCGTAAAATGTAACGTTAAAATAAGACTGAATTATTGATTTCAATCAAGAAATTTTTTAGTCTGTCTCTTCGTTTTACTTTTTTCTAACAAGTTTCTTCGCGCCAGATATATATATAATTTCCTAATTATTAATAAATGTGACGATCTACAAAATCTCGAAAGTGGTCAGAGCAAAACTGCCTAAACGTGTTATTAGATGGCTTTAAAAAGTCGGCACGAACTTTCGAGACAGGTCGTTGTCCCACGTTCAAAATTTCGGGAAAACAGCTCTTTATTCCCGATCGACACGACTCCACCCTATAATCCACGGAATCATTTCGCTTGTTATCGGGCTAGGTAGAGGACGAATTCTTAAAACAAGCGCAGAATGCGGCGCGCGCCAAGACTCTACGTGCTAAGTTCGAGCACTGGGAGGAGACCGACGGCAAGGTCAGCAATCACCATGTCGCCGAAATGGAGATGGCCCAGGGTACGGGCGATCAGTCTAGCATAGAATCGGCGAGCAGTCTTAGAGCTCGTTTCGAGTCTCTCGGCTCGCAGGCTAACGAATCCCCGCGCACACCGAAGGTCAAAGTCAATCGATTTGTGGTAAGTACATTTTCTTGATCTATATAATCGCGCACGTGTCCTCGACTTGGTCCAATATCATATTGTGACTTGTCGTTTGTGTAATCATCATTATTCTTCCTGCATCTATTATAATTAATCATTTCATATCACCACTCCTCCTGATTTTTAATTACTATTGATTAAATTTGGAGAACATGCCTCTGATTCTTTTTCTTTTTACCGTAACAATATGCTTTTCTGATTAGTTTATAATTGCGGTAGTGCTTTTCTTAACAAAATTATAATATAAAATATATTTGCAAGAGTAATATTAACATTTTTTAAATCACATATAAGTTGAAAAAATCGTATAACATAATTTTTATCCTGTTCTCATTAAGTATAGCAATTTTGCGATTTTAAGTATTAGTAATATTTATTTTTAAGTAAAGCTAAAATTATTGCGATTATAAGCCAATCAGAAATTTGAAATTAAATATTTTTCCCGATAAGTTCCCTTTTTTTTTTATTTATGGACGATTCGGCATTGTAAAGTATGCGCATGGTGTGATTTTGAATTGTTGTCAGTCTGCCTGTGCTTATCTGTTTTATATGTTAAAACTATAAGTGTATTTTATTCGTTGAGCATGTTTGTATTGCGTCAAAAAAGTCAAAACAAACAATGAAATATTAATATTTCAAAATAATTAATATTTTTTAAAAGTAACATCTTATTGGGTTAATAAATGATTGCAGCATTTTGACGCAATTCGAAGCAATGCGTGGAAAATGCACGATTAAGATTTTATTGTATTTTATTTTATTTTATGTGGCTCATCTTTTATGTAACGAAAATTTATATATTTTTACGCTCTTTATTATAATAGTAAAATATGTTTATATATACGTGTACAGTCTGCGATGAAAGTTAATTATTGCTTATAATAATTTAATGTGATAATTTTTCATCTCATATATTTAATGGATTTTGCGCGAACATAAATTCATGTTATCCACTCTCTTTATATTATTACATTCTTTTATGGAACAAATAAGATAATTTCTCATCGCATTATCGCTTTCAATTTTTTTGCAATAATATTGCAATTATATTAACATATAGTAACATATATTAACATAAGTCATGATATTGGCAAATGTCGTATTGTAATATCGGTATATATTTCTAAGCTGTTGACGTATTTAGTTTTTAATATCCGCGATTAAACAATAAGAATTAAAAATATATTTATTTTAGAAAAATGACGATCTACTCTACAATAACAATCTAGTCTATATATCACTAGAAATTATAGATCTAAATATTATAGAACTAAAAATTATAGATCAATTCATTATGTTTCTAGAATTTTTCTTTTGCAAAGAGATGTTTTTCTTTACTCTAACGAAGTGTTGATGGGGTATAAAAAATTAATTCATCATTCAAATTCGCTCACCATAACGGAAAATTGATACATTATTGTTCATTGTTTTGTGATTGGGAAATAAAAGTATAAAATTGCAGTTTCGCAGTTAAAAAAGATAAAAATAGCTCGATAACTTAATAAAAGAAAATTATGTGAAACTGAAATAATTATACAACATTTAACGAATACACATTCCATATTAAGTTCTAATTAAATTTCCTGCGAGTAACGGAATTTTTACCTTTATTCCTTTATTGATTTTTATCGAGCATGATTGATGTGATTATCTTCTTTTTTATTTTTGGTTATTGTTCTTACATTTTTTTCTTCGTTTGAAATCTGCCTGCGATATTTTGGTCAAAATTCTGCCCGCTTGTGTCGTGTGGTAATGTAAAGTGAAAGTAATCACAAACAAAATCAAGTGCTCTTCTTTTTATGACGTGGAGCAGTAAAGGAAAGAGAAAGAAAGGGAGAGACGAAGAAAATACACACCTGGAGATTAATTCGATTACGAGAAGAATGAGAGAAGAAAGAGAAGAAGGTCGATGGAAGAGAAAGAGCGTCGTTGGAACCGCGATGGAAAGGCAATTTTTTTAAATTTCGTGCATTAAGTAAAAAATAAACGGCAATAAAATGTTCAATTATTGTCGATTATTGTAACGACTTTGCGTTTTCTTAGGGATGATTTTAACACACTCGAGTTATGTTCGTATAGTACATCTTAGCCTGTAGACTGTATCATATGTTATGTGTTAATACGTTATTGCACTACGAGAATTTGCGCGATTATTAGATTCGTTGAGCGTTTCGTCCAATTGCCAATTAGAATGGAAGATATATGCTATCGCAAAATCAATTCCAAACAGATGGCAATAAACCGTTCGAAGCATAATATGCCAAGTCACGCAGAAGAAAAAGCATGCAGGAATTTAATACATATTGATTCGCAGATTACAGCGTTATGAAAAGATTTAAATTTATTAATCATTATTTTTTTATAAACATTTTTATTAAGTGATAAATTGAATTGGACAGCTGTGAAATTTTTCATTGCGTGTGCAATAGAAATCTTGCTTTATCAGTAATCCGTGGAAATATTTGTTACACAGAAACGCTCAACTTATCCTAATACATATTACATAAAGAGAGAACTTTATTGTCTACTAATTTACTTTACACAATAAAAGACGAATATCTATCTTTTGTGTCATATGTATGTTGGCATTATCGTTGTCAGGAAGTCTTTGAAAAAAAAAAAATTCTTTCTACCCACATACGTGCGATATATTGCTGTAAAACTTAAGATGGATTCGCTTTTAAGCAGTGAAATTCGTAACGATGTGTATTCAATTTTTCCTTACTTTGTTAATTCCACAATATGTCGTCATTTGTTAATTAATTGAAAATTCGTATGTAAACTATTATAATACTGCAATGTGCCAAATTTTATTAAACTTTTAAGCAATTTTTTTCAAACTATAATTTTAATTTGAACGGAATCTTTACAACTGATGACTGATTCATCGTATAATGTGCCTTTTTGATTTTTTTATATAAATGATTTACTTTTTAAAATAATACTTAAATAATAATGAAATTATTGAGATTTATCTAATATAAAATATTAGACTATGTATGAAATATACCGAGCAAACGTAGAAAATGAAACTATCATAATATGAACATCGACAAGCATTATTTTGGCTCGTTGATATTCACATATAACAAAACGGATTCAAAGTTTTCTTTTCATCGTTACGATCTTCCTCTGCCACTTTAGATTTCTAATTTTCATAAGTGCCAAGTTTTACGTTGAATGAAGAGAGTAGAGAGAGAGAGAGAGAGAGAGAGAGAGAGAGAGAGAGAGAGTAAGAGTGCGAAAGAAAAAAAAGTGCGTGAGAATGACGAACGAGAAGCAGAAGGTGATGCTTTCTCCAATTTAACGTGCGATAAAGGCCTGAACAAGGAAGTATCGGGTACTGTCGAGGTGTTCTGGGGCCGACTGGCGGTTAGGACCGTAGCTATTTCGATCGCTTTTACAAATTTCGAATCTTTTTACAGCTTAGCGCCGTGGTACAGTAGATTTTTATACTCGTGTGGAAAAACGTAAACGATAATTTCGTTCTCGTGTCGTCGCGTTCGAGCCTGTTTCCCCGCATTTGTGATTCGAATAAAATATTTCGCAAACACGCGTTATATATTTGTATCTCGGCACCTGTGCAATACGATAAACTATGACTACGTATTTGTTGTTTTACAGAAAGTGCAAATCTATTCTATATATTAATCTTACACTGAGAAAAAAATTTACTAAATCTTAATAATATTTTTTTAACAGTACTACTTTGACATTTATTTATAATAAATATTTACTTAATACAAAGATGATAACTAAATTAAATTAATGATTCTTGTATCAAATATATATATACATATAAATACATATATGTTTATATATAATAAATATCTCGCTAGTACTCAAATAAATACTTATTAAAATTTGGTACATTTTTCTTCAGTGTAGTTGTATTATATTTTAGATACGTTATATTATTTCTTGTGAGTAAAATGTTCTCTTATCTATGGCTTCATCATTTACTGTTATGTCCGTTATTTTTTATACTCGCCACAAGAGATCGTGTAAAATGTTATCGTAAATTCTTATAGAAACGACATTTTCGCTGCTACTGCTAGATATGAGAACGTCGTCAATGTAGAGCTACGATGTCACTTTCGGCATATTTTATACTTCACAGAAGAAGCACAGGGATGTGAACGACTTCGGTCATATAATATCAGGGTAAAAACGCTATCGCGTTCCTCGAATTTCAAACGAAGGACCCATTCTTAAAAGAGAGCATTGTACGATTTTTTTAGATATGTATCTAAGTGCTGTAGAAAGAGAGGAAGAAAGATCGAAAATGTATATTCTCGACAGCGAATATTTCTCCGTCTTCCTTTATCCGTTTGTGCAATAATAATTTCCGTTGTGAATACACAAATTACGAATTATGAATTTATTTAAGAGATTTAAGAGATTAGTGTGATTCATAGCAGGAAGCGCTAAGCTGATTTTGATTTGCGAAAAATCTGCTCCGTGGACTGAGATGCTGACGGAGATCTCGCGTGACAAATTGCGAGTCCTTGTTAACGGCCTCTCGAATTCTTCTGATTTGTATAGCATAGATAGCGATAATAGTCTAGTTTACTGCGTCTTTTAGCGTATCGTTTCTATTGATGTACTACGATCTTGTTCTGTTTATCTTTCACGTGTAACATTTATTACGATAATACACAAGTGATAAATAAAACAGGTGCTAAATCTATTTGATAAGGGAGGAGTGGGTAGGATGAAATCAAGGGAAGATCTCTTGATGCGAGAAGCGCGGCCTTTCTTCGTCTTCTTCTTCGCGTAGTGTATGTACATATTCCTCTTACATTAGATCATCTCTCTTTACACAATCTATCATACATTCAGCATACATAAATCCCCGGTATCCGGCTGTTATTGAGGAGTATTCGTAAGGATTAAATTTCCTCTGACGTAACAATCGTACAGGAGATCCAGACGACATGCACGGAGATGTGCGAGAGCTGCGAGAAAAAGGTCTACCCCTTGGAGAAGGTCGAGACAAATAACAAAATCTTCCATAAGCAATGCTTCCGGTGTCTGCAGTGCAATTGCATTTTAAGGTAATGGAAAAAGACATGTAAACTTCTGCTTATATCAGGTCTATCAGATATGTAGATAAGATTGTAATATATCCTGTACTAAACATATTTCACTTAAAGAAAATGAAGAGCCTACAAAAGTGTCAAGCAATGCAGTGTCAGTTATCGAAAACGTTTTGATAATTAACATGATGTAAATGTATGTATAAATATGGAGATACTTTTTGTCTTTGACAGTAATAATATTTTAATTATATTATAATATAATATATGTACATACACAAATATTATAACACGCGTTATAATCGATTTTTGTTTCTTCTCTATTTCGAATTTTTATTCTTCAATTAAATACAGTTACGAAATTATAGTTAAGTATAGTTATTGTTATATTATTAATATGTTCAAATAGGATGGACTCCTTCACTCTGAATAACGGCAAGCTGTACTGTATCCCGCACTTCAAGCAACTCTTTATTACACGGGGAAACTATGACGAGGGCTTCGGTGTCGACCCGCACAAGAATAAATGGGTGACAACAAACTCCAGCAATTCCACGAGCCCATCGCCAATCGCGGTCTCGAACGGCGATCTCTGATTTTATAGTCTTCCACCTCAATTCTTTCCTGGTTATAAATCGCTATTGAATTTTAGTCGAATTTTAGGTGGATCTAGATAAAGATTTAAAGAGGGAATAGTCCCTCTCGGAAATACATTTTAGGATGTATGTCAATCATCGCGGAAAAGATATAATATCTTTTACAATTTTCCCCTCGTGAATGATAAATTAGATCCACCTATGGTCAAAACGCGATGATGATTATGATAAATTGTACATTTTATTACGTTATTATCGCGTACATATGAGAACGCGTTTGTATATTTAACGGTAATTGGAATGAATCGCGATGATCGGAGACTCGCTCCGAGAAAAAGGTCTCTGCATGCGAAAATCTTTTCGAAGTGTAAATCTTGCTAAACATTGAACAAATGAATCGAAAGGCATGCATACGTATTTTCTTTACTCCGTTCGTAAATCGAGAACGTAAATATGATTTAAATTATATCGAGGAAATAATAAAAAATGCGCGTGATTTTTTTGGTTCGCCAAGTTGCGTTGAATTAAAATGTATTTTAAAGTTCGTAATGAAAGATCAATGAAAAATCGAAGAAATTGATTCTGATATAATTGCAATGTGCTATAAAGTATCTTCTCAATTTTTAAACTCTATTGTCATCGCTCATCATAAAATTCGCTTGATATTGTTACTATTATTATTTTATTGATTTTATTATTATTATATTATAATTATTATTAATATTATTTACGTGCGTCGCACTTGGTATTATTCTATTATATATGTTGTATAATACAATATTACATTACGCTTCGTAAATCTTGTATCCGAACCTGTCCCTCAATAAATAAGAATTTTATACATCTATATTTATTATAATCTCCGCAATATAAATCTGCATCTAGACCAAAAAATATGATTTATGTGTAGATAAAACAAAATTTTAAAACGTATTTATATATTGATATTTAGAACGTTATCGTTATTATGAAAAACATTTTAGAGTAATTAGCTTCGTATTTTTAGTTTTATTATCGCTTCACAATATCTGCGTCAAAAATGAGTGGCAGTTTGCAGTCAACAAATATGATATCGCGCGTTATCATTACGCAGTGTATCACGAAAGTAAAATACAGATGGCGAAACTTGCGCGTAAGAGGCATCGGGCGGTAGCCATATTATATAGTGCTGCAGAGTGCAGCTATCCATTGACACAGCTCTTTCACACGAGTTTACCTTTTTCTAACGAATTTCTTATCAAAGTAAATATATACGTATGTAATTTTGTCATTAATAATGCAAATTTTTATTAACTAAAAATAACTATTATTGAATAAAAATAATATAATAGGAATACAGTTATATAATACAAAATCGAGTCTATTTGAAGCTATAACCCTGCCTGCACAATGCGTGACAAACACGTCTCTATGACGTGCCAACTCGTCACACGTTACGTCGCAGCGACTTCTCGAAACGTAATAGACACGTCGTTGACATGTGACTAAAGGTGCCTTTTCATCCAGCGAAAAAATCGCCGCGATTGATGATTACGTGATCATTCGCTGTTCGCTAGCCAGTAATCGCTATTCGTCGAAATTTTCCAGCTTTTAGCGAATGTCGTGGAATATCGGATGTTGTACTACATACTATGTAAAGATATGTTATAAAATATATTATAAGATATATAAATGGATATATATATATGGATTTTCGTGCATTTATTTGATGGTAATAATATACTTGTGTATAAATAAATGAACACTGCATTTGCTGATTATATAACTTAATCCAGTTCATAACTGAATGATCCTCCATCTAAAAAGATTAAAAAAAATTTTATAGATAATTAATAATTTACTGTATATTTATTAAATACACAGCATTTAAAAACACTTCAAAGCATATAACCAAGTATAAATACGTACTTTAGTAGATATTGCGAAACGATTTTCCTTATTTCCCAATATCTTTTGGATAAG